CGCCAGGTGGGCACAGCCCCGGGGGTAACACTGCCCCGGGGTGACACAGGGACACCCGCCAGGTGGGCACAGCCCCGGGGTGACACAGGGACAGCCGCCAGGTGGGCACAGCCCCGGGGTGACACAGGGACAGCCGCCAGGTGGGCACAGCCCCGGGGGTGACACAGGGACACCCGCCAGGTGGGCACCGCCCCGGGGTGACACAGGGACACCCGGCAGGTGGGCACCGCCCCGGGGTGACACAGGGACACCCGCCAGGTGGGCACAGCCCTGGGGGTGACACAGGGACACCCGGCAGGTGGGCACAGCCCCGGGGTGACACTGCCCCGGGGTGACACAGGGACACCCGCCAGGTGGGCACAGCCCCGGGGGTGACACAGGGACACCCGCCAGGTGGGCACAGCCCCGGGGTGACACAGGGACACCCAGCAGTTGTCACTGCCCCGGGGATGGGATGGCAATGTCCCCTCTGGGGGCACAGGGACACCCGGCAGTTGTCGCTGCCCCGGGGGTGACACAGGGACACCCGGCAGTTGTCGCTGCCCTGGGGGTGGCACAGGGACAGTTTTCCCTGCTGTTAATGATCAAAGCCCAGCTCTGCTCTCATTCATTCCCTGCCCTTCCTGCTGCCTCTAATTAACCCTGCTAATTAATCACTTGGGGCTGTAATTAATTAATGAAGCCTGCTAATGAATCCCTGGGGGCTGTAATTAATGAAGCCTGCTAATGAATCCCGCGGGGTTCCCGCTGTGCCCGCAGGATGAGGTGAATCGCCTGGGTGGCAACTACGGCAAATGCACCACGGACGGCGCTGACGTGGCCGTGGAGCTGCTCTACAACAACTCCTACACCCTGCAGGTACAGACCCGGCCTAGCTGAGCCCGGCTTAGCCAGACCCGGCTCAGCTGAGCCTGGTTTAGCCAGAACCAGCTCAGTCAAACCCGGCTCAGCCAGGCTGGGGCTGCTCTACAACAACTCCTACACCCTGCAGGTACAAACCCGGCTCAGCTGAGCTCGGCTCAACCAAACCTGGCTTAGCCAGTCCCAGCTCAGTCAAACCCAGCTCAGCCAGGCTAGAGCTGCTCTACAACAACTCCTACATCCTGCAGGTACAAACCTGGCTTAGCTGAGCCCGGCTTAGCCAAACCCGGCTCAGATCTAGAATTTTTTTTTTAATTTATCCAAAATATTTTCTGCCTTCATCTCCTTAAGAGCTGCACCCTAAAGAGTTGGGATTGTTTTGATTTATCCAATTTTTCTCCTAAAACCTCCATCCTGCAAATTCACAATTTTTTTTTTATTTACCCACTTTTTTTTTTTTCACCTTTTTCTCCTAAAAGCTGCATCCTAGAGATGCAGAATTTTTTTTTTTCTGTATCCCATTAATTATTTTTCCCCGTTTTCCCCTGCCAGGCGTGCCTGCACTCGTGTTTCCAGCAGCTGATGCTCCGGGAGTGTGGCTGTGGTTATTATTATTACCCACTGCCCGCCGGGGCCCGGCACTGCGACTACAACCGGCAGCCGGGCTGGGGTGAGGCTGCCCGGGATCCCGGGAAAATGGGAACGAATCCAGGGGAAATCCTGGGAAAAAAATCCCTGGGAATTCCTGAAATCCAGGGGAATTCATCCCTGGGAATTCCTGAAATCCTGGGAAAAATCCCTGGGGAATTCCTGAAATCCTGGGAAAAATCCCTGGGGTGAGGCTGCCCGGGATCCCGGGAAAATGGGAACGAATCCAGGGGAAATCCTGGAAAAAAAATCCCTGGGAATTCCTGAAATCCAGGGGAATTCATCCATGGGAATTCCTGAAATCCCGGGAATTCATCCCTGGGAATTCATCACTAGGAATTCCTGAAATCCTGGGGAATTCATGAAATCCCCTGGGAAAAATCCCTTGGGTGAAGCTGCCCAGGATCCCAGGGAAAATGGGAACGAATCCAGGGGAAATCCTGGGAAAAAATCCATGGGAATACCTGAAATCCTGGGGAAAAAATGCCCAGGAATTCCTGAAACCCCCTGGGAAAAATCCCTGGGAATTCCTGAAATCCTGGGGAAAAATCCCTGGGGAATTCCTGAAATCCTGGGAATTCATCCCTGGGGATTTCCTGAAATCCCCTGAGAAAATTCCCTGGGAAATAATCCCTGTAACCCTGGGGAAAAAATCACTGGGAATTGCCAAAACCCCTGGGAATTCCTGAATTTCTGGGAAAAATCAATAGGGAATAATGCCTGGGATTTCCTGAATTTCTGGGAAAAATCAATAGGGAATAATCCCTGAGAATTCCTGAATTTCTGGGAAAAATCAATAGGGAATTATCCCTGGGAATTCACGAAACTCTGGGAAATCATTTTTTCTCACAGACTCAGGAATTCCCAGGGATTTTTTTTTTTTTTT